ACCAGAAAGAAAGAAGAAGTGGAAGAAAGAGCCGGATCTCCGCTGAAGATAAAGAGCCAGATCTAGCACGTCCGCCGCCATCACAGCCCCGCCATCGCCGCCACAAATCTAAAGAAAGAATAAGAGAAAAGAAAAGAAGAAGAGAAGATCTATCCAGACTTACCACCGCCATCACTGTCACCATCGCCACAACCGCCGTCGTCACCGTCGCCGTCGCCGCCGTTTGCAGATTTAGAAGAAATCGGAGGAGAAAGAAGAAGGGGATAAAGAAGAAGAAAGACAAAGGGGGAGAAAGAGAAGAGAAGGAGGAAGAGGAGGAGATGGAAGAGAAAGTGACTAGGGAATTGAGAAAGAAAGAAGGAGAGGAAGGAAGAAAGAAAGAGAAAAAGGTGGCCGAGCCAAAAAAAAGGAAAGAAACGAAGGGAAGAAGAGAAAGGAAGAAAAGGAGGAAAGGAAGGAAGATGAGGGTAATTTTGGAAGAATAGAGAGAAAAGCGTAGAGTGGGAACATCATTCCTGGACGAAAAAAAACGTAGACTGAGAACATCATTCCCGGACGGAGGGAGTAGTATTTTGATTTATTTAGTTACCTTTTATGGCTAAGATTCTTTAGTTCTACTATCTATATATGTAGCCAATATTCATAAGTTTATTATTCAATTAATAAAGAAATATTTCCCTAACCCTAAACTCCCCCTCTTCTCCTTGTCGATCAACGGCTGTCTTCCCCTCTCTTTCTCGCCTCTTTTGTTCTTGGAGCTTGAAATCCTTCCCTATCCCGATACGATACGTTTTAATTGGGGGAAGAGTAACACACCCCAATCGGGATTTAATTCAAAAAAGGGCATGATCCTTACAATACACGCACACACGCAAATGTTTGTGTGTGTGCCTATAGTTTTTTCTTAAGCCTTTCGATTTTATTTTAATTTTAAAATTCTTTTTCATAGTTGGTCTCTTACATGGCAACACTTGCTTTTAAACTATATTATTGTTATATGTTTTAATTCCAACAATGGCATCGCGTTTTACATGAGTGATATGTGGTTCTCACTTACTCTTTAAAGTTAGGAGTTGTATGCTCTGTACAAAATAATAAGAGGGAAAATATTCTGTATATTCAATTGTTCTGTTTAGTTACAAGGGGTTTCTCCTTTATTTATAGGAGAGGATGATTCCAAAATAGACAAGGAATACAAATCCTACAAGGAAACAAATCATAATCAAACTAGGAAACAAATAAATCAAGATCAATCCTAATTAGAATGGGATTCGGTCATCAAAGGATTTGGACTTCTCAAGTTTGGATTTCTCGGAATTCGGAC